AGAGCCGGGGGGCTGTGCCTGGCTCCAGCGCCCAGCAACCCCCAGGCAGCACAGCCACCAGCACCCTGCCCCCTTCCGCGCTTGCTCTCTTGCCTTTGCTCTCAAACACCTTGCTGAGTGCTGTTGGCGCTGGCATGAAGGGTGCTTCCGTGGCCGAGCCGACGCTGGTTTGGAAATCACAGCCTGGGAACCCCCTTTGGGGAAGAAGTCCGTGCAAGAGGGTTGTGGCAAGTGCTGTTGGATGGAGAGTTCCTACAATGCCCTCAAGCTCAGAGAGCTGGCAGTGCAGGAAATGCAGAGGGAAATATTTATTTGACATTTGAGATGGGGCTGAAGATAGTTTTCTGGTTGTGTTTGTGAGCAGACGTGTGCAAGGGGGCTTGGGGGTCAAGCACTGGGGAAGCCTCCTGCAAACCCAGGGCAAGGCTCGCCTGGGCTCTAACTCCTCCTGTCCCTCGGTACCACAGGTTGGTGGCTTTTCCTGGGAGGACTGCAGTGAAGGGAAGGATCCCGTGGTGCTGCAGAGCCTCTCTGTGGCACCCGACCCCATCTCCATCCCGGGAAGCATGCGCATCAGTGCGGCGGTCAAAAGCAGCAAGACTGTAGTTGCCCCTCTGAAGGTACATGCTGGAGATGCCTCCACGGGACGGGGGAGGGCAGAGCTTCCCAGAACCACCTGGGAAACCGGCAGTGGGTGTGGGAATGAGGCACGGAGTGGTGCAGCGCTGAGCTCACTGGGCTCTGTACGCCAGGATGGGATGATGGGCGTGGAGAGACCCATGGTGGGAGCAGACAGCCTGATGGGAAGCTCCCAGTGGGAGAAACCACCTGAGCTGTGTCGTGTCCTGGGGACATAGTGACCCAGGGTGGGAAATGAGACCCCAGGTGCCCTGGGTGTTCCTGATGGTTGCTGCAGCACTTGTTTCGCAGTGGCCAGACCTGGCTGCTGCCTACCGGGACATGCCATGGCACCGCTGCGGGAGCCCTGAGCTTGCCAAGCCATCCTGCACCACTTTTCGGGGACTTTTTGAGCAGTGTCATGGTGCCTGTTTGGGACTGCGGGGAGCCTGGAGGCAGAGCTGCAGGATGGGAGCTGCTGGGTGGTTTTGTGATGGAGAGGGGAAGGAGCGGGTGCATGGGGTGCTCGGAGGTGTCTGCTCAAGGGGTCAAACCAAGGCTGGAGGAAGAGAGACCTGCAGGTGGAGAGGAACCAAAAGCAGGAGGGGGAAGTGAGCGTGCGTGCGGTGGCCCTATGGACACCCCGAAGAATTGCATAAGCAGGAACTGAGGGAAATGGCTGGAGAATGGTGGTGGGACAGGCTGGGGGAGCTGTGGACACCAGCTGTACTGGTGTGGGACTCTTTCGCTCCAGGCAGTGCTAGTGGTGGAGAAGGCACTGGGTGACCTCTGGATCCAGCTGCCCTGCATCGACCAGATGGGCAGCTGCACCTATGATGATGTCTGCACCATTCTCGACAACATCATCCCACCTGGCACGACCTGTCCGGAGCCCCTGCTCACCTACGGCATCCCTTGCCACTGCCCCTTCAAAGCGGTACGCCCGAGACCCCCGGTCGGCGATGCCGGCAGCGCCCTGGGTACCACTGTGCCCTTCGGTGTGGGCTTGGGGGGGTTCAGCTGGTCTCTTGCCTACGTGTCTCCTCTCCCCGCAGGGCTCCTACTCTCTGCCAGCCAGCGACTTCGACCTGCCTGACGTGGAGCTGCCTGCCTGGATGACCAACGGCAAATACCGTGTCCGGGTGGTCGCCAGCAGCGGCAGGGAGGAGCTCGCCTGCATCAAGCTGGCCTTCTCCCTGCAGGCCCAGTGAGGCGTGGGGCTATCCCACCTCTCCCCACCACCTTACTCCCCTGTCCCTCCCAGTTGCACCCCATCTTGTCCCACTCTGTCCCTGTGAGGTGCATCCGTCCTGCTGCCAGGAGGAGGCAGCCTCCGTACCCCCGCTCAGTGTCCCCCTCCCCTGCTACACACAGAAAGGCCCCTCCAGCTGTCCCTTTGTCCCCAACCCCATCACTGGGGTGTCCCCTGCCCTCATCAGGGTGGCCGTGGAGCTAAACTTAGCCTTTCAGTGTGACTTGGGGGTAGTTACTTTTTACCTAGTTGAGCTCTTTTTTTTTTTTTTTTTTAAATCCCTAAATGTAGGGAATTTTAGACAAAAGCATTCCAGGGAAAAGCAATACTTCTTGGAGCAGTCTGTGGGGAAGTAGGAGTGTGTGGGACTGCTGGGAGCAGCCTGGAGGGATGCAGGATTAGCTGCGGAGGGTGTCCCTGCTTGCCCACACCACCTCCGCTGTGGCAGCTCTGGGTCTGCCTTGGGCACGTCCCTGTCCTGTGTTTGGGACCAGCTTGGCAACGAGGCGCCGGGGAGGGCACCTCCCCGTGTCCCTCCTGCCACGCACATCACAAGCACAGCAGGACTGGAACTACCCAAACCCCAGACGGACCTTTCCACTCGTGAGGGACCAAGCGGCTGGCGGTGCTCCCAGCGGCAGGAGAGGTGGCCGGACACGGCTGTGACAGGCAGCTGTGGCACAGCCTGGCCGAGGACAAGTCCCGCTCATCTCATTGTGCCACTGGGACTGAGACGAGGCAGGGTGCTGCACTGGGACCATCCTTGCCGTGCGCCGGCAGAGGTACCCCCACGGGGAAGCAGTGTCACGGTCATGGGATGGTCTGGGAGATGACCAGCAGCCTGGGTCCTCTTGGGGGGCCCTGCAGATCATCTGATTGTGGCTGGTGGCCGAGGCGTGGGCAGGCAGCATCTTTCCTGCAGCTCCATGTCACACACCCTGCCAGGTCTCGGCGGCTGCAGGTAACCCACCAGCCCCCCTCATCCCTCGCTCCCTTGCTGTCCCTGCCTGCTCGCATTATTTAGCCCCTCCATGGGGCTGGCCTTCCTCCAAGCACTTTATTTGCCTTACACCGCTGCCGGTCTGCTGCCGCGGGGGATCCTCGGCCGTGCAGATGTGCTCCCACCGCCCTTCTGTACCCCTGACTCGCTCTGTTTTATCCTGCTGCTGGGTCCGACCTGGGTTTGTTTTGCCTGGAGAATCTCCATCCCTCTCGCCCCGCTCCCCACCGCTGCACAGCCCCATTGCCAGGGCGGCTTCCTCCTTTCGGGCAGGTAATGCAGGTTCTTAATAAATCTTTTTACCAGGGAGTGGAGCTGGTGCCTCTTGGTGCTGGGGGTGACCTGGGGGTGACGTTTGTTTCCCTTGAAATAGTGGGAATGTGGTTTT